ATTTTATTACCTATCGAAAAATCTTCACTAATAAATTTTATTATATGACCACATATAGTTTTGATTTACATAGTGCATCGCACACCCCAATGATACGTGCTGAAATCTGTATGAACTTTTCTTTGCATAACGTAATACGGTTGTGTATCACTCATCACATCGGATATATAACAATAACCTATTGTTAAATTGTCAAAGAAGTTGAGAATAAAAATATACGTAGTGATTTGTGCCATATACTTAAATATCGATAACAGATAATCAACATTATAATAACTTAAATAAACTTATCAGTTTAAATAAAATGGCATTTAATGAAAATTTAAATGAAAAATTTATAGAAGATTTCGAACATGCACTTAATATTCAAGAAAAGATAAATGATAAAAAAATAGAATCAAAATTGAAATCAGAAGTTGAGACTCAAACAGGTACTTTTTTCATTAACAAATTAAATTAAAATTATCAAGTTTTTTAAAAAAAATTTTTCTAAGTTTAAATTTAACATGAAAAAATTTTTTTTAAAATTTATTTTTTAAAAGCGTCAAAATCCTTATTTGAATCTTGCGAATTACATCTTCTCTATCCGGATGATTCATTAGATGATGAATTTATATTAAATTTATTTAAATATTTTTTTAAAATATTTAATACTCATTACGAACCGGTATATGTAGTTAATCTATTAAGGCAATATTTTAAAGATAATAATAAGAATCCTTTAGACATTTTCAATCAATTGATTCATCATCGAAATCAAAATTATTTTACAAGTATGATTGGTTATTTTTATCAATTCGGAATTGGTACTGATGTTAGTTATAAATTAGCAAATTTATTTTATACTCAATCAATTAAAAGTGGATCAAAATTTTCAAGTAATTCGAATTTGGATTTAGATTTGGATTTGGATTTGGGTTTATCAATTAATAATTGTAATGAACTTTTGGAAAATAATTGGAATATTGGAAAAATCGCTTTGGCATATTTATATTATTACGGTTTTGGTGTTGAAGAGTATATGAAAAAGGCTTTTACTTTATATAATGAAGCTGCTGAAAACAATTATGGATTAGGTCAATATTTTGTTGGTAAATGTTTTGAAGAAGGTTATGGTGTAGAAAAAAATCACTCCAAGGCTTTTGAATGGTATATGAAATCTGCTGGAAATGGATCACCTCGTGGTCAATATGGTATTGGAAGGTGTTATCAATATGGAATATATGTTGGTAAAAATGAAAAAATTGCATTTGAATATTATTTAAAATCGGCAAAAGGTGGTGATTTAAATGGTCAAGCAAGTCTTGGTTACTGTTATGAAAATGGTATAGGTATTAAAAAAGATAAAAAGAAAGCATTTGAATTATATTCAAAATCATTTTTCCGTGCTGATATATCTATTACGCAAAATTATTTTTTAAGATGTTACAGAAATTATATAGGCATTGAAAATAATAATAGAATGGCTCTTGAATGGCATTTAAAATCTGCTGAAAGTGGTAACCTTATTGATCAAAATAACCTCGCTTTTTGTTATCAACATGGTATAGGTATTGGTAGGAATTCTCAAAAAGCAATTGAATGGTTTTTAAAATCTGCTGACGGTGGTAATTCTAGTGGTCAAAATAATCTTGCATGTTGTTATTTGGATGGAAAAGGAATTGTTAAAGATGAAAAAAAAGCATTTGAATTATTTTTACTTTCTTCCAAAAGTGGTAATTCTGATGCATTCACTAATCTTGGTTTGTGTTATCAACATGGTTTGGGTGTTACTAAAAACGAAAGAAAAGCATTCGAGTGTTATTTGAAATCTGCGAAAAGTGATAATTCTTATGGACAAGTTAATCTTGGTCGGTGCTACTATGAAGGTGTAGGCATTAGCATGAATCTTGATGAAGCATTTAAATGGTTTTTGAGATCTGCTGAAGGTGGTGGTATTGTTGGTCAATGTACACTTGGATGGTGGTATCTACAAGGTGGATGGTTCGCTAAAGATGAAGAAAAAGCATTTAAATGGTACTTAAAATCTGCTGAAGGTGGTAGTATTGAAGGACAAATAGGTCTTGGGCAGTGTTATCAGAAAGGAATTGGCACTTCTAAAGACGAAGAGAAAGCACTTGCGTGGTTTTCGAAAGCTGCATATGATAAAATTAATAAAATTCGTTGGCTTTAAGTATTCACTCATTTCCTAATTTAGATCATTTAGTTTAGTAGATATATAAATAATAAATAACAATATATACCGATATATATTTTTTTTAAAAAATTCAATTTATACAAGTTATATACTTTCATAAGGCATATTTGCGTTGATTAATTTTGCAAATATAATTTATATTATTTATGTATGATAACGATTGTACATATAGTGCTTCGCATACACTTATACAGTTATGACTTTTGACGGAATTTAATTCAGAAATTGTTCAGGACTTAAAGAATTCTAATCGAATTTTATGTAATTTCAAGAACACCTGCTTACATTCAATTCATTTTCTAAGATCTCAACGCAGTATTACTTATACCGATCAATTTTCGGTGACAAATTAGAAAGCTGTAATTCAATTATTAATAACATATTAATTTAATAACCTCGTATAATAAAAATTGTACAATGACGGTTAATTATTGAAAATTTTGATACGTACGTACCGTGTTTGCCTAAATTGGACTTAATTCTGGCCATTATTCGAAATCACGCGCATGCCCGTTATTTCCCAAAAATACGATAAGCAAACTTTTCAATACATTATATGATATAAAAATATCTTTGAGGTCCAGTAATCTTTCAACGCTGTAGTAAAATGTAATTTATTAACTAACTGCTGGTAGTGATAATTCTAAATATTAATTAAAAATTGAATTCTTTTGTCGTTCGAGGTTACAAATCTTCAAATTATTTTGGGACGCTCTATAAATACTGGGATAGTTTCTTCATTTTCCGATTAATTAAAATTTTGCTTTCGATCCATTGAGTGAGGTACTTAAGGATGTCCTAAATTCGGTTTAAATTCAACCGTTTGGCTTAATAAATATTAACCGATTTTCAATTACAGCAATTTAATAAAGAAATTCGAGTTTATAAATAAAAAAAAAAATCATCAATGCTCGAAAAATTCAGAAGTTTAGATGTTCGGAATTCATCGATTCAAATCTCACATACTGATCCAATGTTATTAAATTTCAATAAACTGAGGCAATCCTAACCGTTTAAATAAATTTAAATTTACGGTTTTATTTATGAGCGTTGCTTCACACAGAATTATCATATATCAATAGGATTTGTCAGATTTGGGTAGTATATTGGAACTTAAAATTTTTTAAAGTAAATGAGCTAAGTAGGGACGTTGAAGAGGTCGGCTTGAGTAAAGTTTAAATAGGGATGGATCAGTCCTGAAAAGACTACATATGGTTAAAGATATTTATAAGAAAGCAATATGTTAGATAATCGCTTATTTCGCTTATCGATGCTATATGATTTGATTATTTAATTTTCTCTACCAACCAATAAACTTGATTAGAGGTTGGGATCATTTTTTGTGACCGAGACTGGACCGATATGGACTGAAAAACGTTAATTGACGGGTCTTATTAGTAGGGATGTGAAAAGTTCGGTCCGGTCCAATTCGACTCCAGAAGTCGTGTCATAATTTGTACTCAGTTCAAAGCAGACTTGGGACAAAAACTCATTCTGTCATGTGAAATACGTAACACCACATTATTTAAGTAATACAAGGTTCAAACTTTGAATCTTGTATTACAGCATTACTTAAATAACTGTGGTTTCACACAACAGGATGAGTTTTTGTCCCAAGTCTGTTTGGAACCGAGTACAAATTATGGCTCGACTTCTGGAGTCACATACCTACTTATTAGGGACCAGACGGACTGGATCATACCGATTCATTGTATTTGAAATAATGTATTGTAAAAAATTTATTGGATATTTCTATTTTATCTCTTTAATTTCTGTAAAACTCCGTAAATCCGCAACATTAT